GTTAAATTGCTGTGTGTGTTCGGTTCTCATTCAGAGTTCAAAAACCCATTCATAACAATTGGCCTAAAGTTTGACAGAACTGTAGGATCCAAGCTGCTCTTCTTAAGAAGTGGTTGGACCACAGCATGTTTAAATGCTGCTGGAACACAACCTGAAGAAAGAGAGGTGTTAAGAAAATTTAAAATCCATGGACCTACAGAATTAAAAACCTCCTTCAGCAGCCTAGATGGAACACGGTCACTAGGACAATGTGAAGGCCTCAGCTTCAAGGCTATTTCAGAAACCTCAGATAAGGACACAGGTTCAAAATGATCTAAAATAGCTGAGGAAATGGCAGTGCCTAGACTAAACTTCAAATTATCCCTGTTAACTAACCCAAACGTCGAGACCACATTCCTTAGTGTTCTTTTTCTTTTAGAAACTAACCTCTCAAGAGACAGAAGACACCATCTTTGTCCCAACAAAGAGAAGCAGTTTTTCCCTCGTCAGGAAAATCAGCATTTGGCAATGAGATTTGATCTCTAGTGCTAATGAGCAAATCTTTTGCCTGGGCTCACGATACCTTCAATCGTGACCAAAATAACCAGCTTTGAAGCTCCATTAAGTTTTGTTTTAAAACTTCTGATGAGAAGTCTTTTATTTTGAAGAGAAGACCGAATCGGATCTGACTCTGTCCTTCGGACTAAAGCAGATTTTTGGAAACGCTGAAAAAATCAAAACACTGGAAGTTTTACTGGAAGTAAGGAACCTGACTGGAGTTTCTTGCTGACGTGGGTGAATACTTCCTAAATGCTTAACCTGATGGTCAAGACACCTCCAGGTAAAAGCTGAATGTTTTGACTAAAGCGTACCGAAGGTCCGGCTGACGCGACCGAGAGATGCAAGTGTTCATTCTGGTTTTCTCACATATTGATAAGTTAAAACGTTAGGGATAACATCCTCCTTTCCTTCTATCTCTTAAACTTAAACATTGCCATCTAAGTTTAATGTACCTGCAAACATCTGGTTTATTAAGACCTTAAACCTGAAGTTCTGCTGTTTCTGTTAGAGTTGTCACATCGACAGTTAATTAGTACGGACGCGTACGTTTTTGTTGATGTTTTAACTCACAACAAAATTTGAATGTTCACAATAAGTTGTATATAACATTTATTTCAATTCTATAAACAAATGATCTCATTTATGGCCAGATCAACTTGAATTCACTGACTAAAGTCTGACTTATTTGTGTGGTCTCGTGTTTACACAGAAAGGTGGTTTATTTCCTTAAACAGAAGAACCCGTGAATTTCCTTATAACAGTTCGTTATACGAAGTGTAGGTGTACTAATCACTACAGGTACATTGTTTAGATGTGTCCAGAGGAGGACAGTGATTAGGAAGAGGACAGTTTAGACATGTCCAGAGGAGGGACAGTGGGTATTATGGTTTAGATGTGTCCAGAGGAGGGACAGTGGGAATATTGGTTTAGATGTGTCCAGAGGAGGACAGKGGGTAAATTGGTTTAGATGTGTTCAGAGGACAGTGAGTATATTAGATTAGACGTGTCCAGAGGAAGGACAGTGGGAATATTGGTTTCGATGTGTCCAGAGGAGGGACAGTGGGTATATTGGTTTAGATGTGTCCAGAGGAGGACAGTGTGCATATTAGTTTAGACATGTCCAGAGGAGGGAAAGTGGGAATATTGGTTTAGATGTGTCCAGAGGAGGGACAGTGTGCATATTGGTTTAGATGTGTCCAAAGCAGGGACAGTGGGTATAGATGTGTCCAGAGGAGGGACAGTGTAGCGGAAACGTGAATATCTTCTCAACAAGAGACAGTCAAATTATTGTTCCTGTTAACTCATCTGATACTTCTCCCAAAGCATTAAGACTCCCATCAGATTTATCTGTGGGTCAGCAACGCCACCCTGTGGACATTTTATTTTGCACCATGTATTAACCCTGAAAACATTTTATTTTTCACCCATGTTTTCCATTTATAACTATAAAAAGCCTCTGTGAAGTGTCAAAACAATACCTTGGTACTCTGATTTAATTACTGTAATAATCATGACATTGTTTRGTAACTTGATCTGGTTTTGATTAATTATTACTCTGTTCTTCTGTTACATGTCCTGTGACCACCGCAGAAAGTCTTAACCAATGAGAAGTTCCGTTGTGAACAGGGAGTTTTTCATTGTTCTGCCATGTGTTGAGTTCTAAGAAGCGTTTGAGGAGAGAGTAGCTTAACTCCAGCTTCCCCCCATCCTGGGGCGAGGCCATTCGTTTTTCCAACTTTATTTCCTTTTTGTAGTTTGTTCTGAAGGTGCTTTTCAGGAAGGAGGTTTACATTGATTGAAAAYGATGAGGCTGATTTAATTCAAGTCGGATGACCCTCAGTGTGCCCGCAAGGAAGCAGCCGCTGTGGTGTGCTGGACAACATCTCCAGTAAATGCAGCCGGCAAACCAGATGACCAGGGAGCTTCTGCAAAGCTAAGTCACAAACTCGGTTGGACTTCACGTGCCAACCCAATTAGCATAGAAGTTTCCATTCTGGCGTCTACAAACTTTGCCGGTAGGAAATATCTTGCTTAATTAATCTGATGGTGTTTTCAAAGACTTAAATCAGATCAGAGTATATCAATGTTCATTCTTCTTCCCCTGAGCTCCCTCTTTGTTAGCTGTAGGCTTAGGAATAGCGAGTTAGTGTCTCACTGAAATATGTTAGAAAGTTATTCACATGGTAGCCATGTCAGACTACTTACGCCACTACTTGATCAAGTTACGGAACTGATTATAAAGTGTGTTTTTGTCTGAGAAATGACTTGTAATGCATATATTTCCCTCTGAACCTCATTTTAATTAATACACGGATGAATTTCCAAATGTGATTTTTCTCCGTCAGTGTATTTCCTTGTCTCACGCCGTCATTAAACTGAAAGAATTAAACGCCTTCATATTTAGAGATTGAATATTAAGAGAAAAGTTTTCTGAAGTTTTACTACAAAAACTTTAGTGGTGCCTCGAGGAAAAAGATAATTTGCGTATTTAAATATATCACAAATTATCCATTTTAGAATTTTAGCGTTTAAAACCCCTACAACAGTGTGCATATTGGTTAGACATTTCCAGAGGAGGGACAGTGGGTATAGTAGCAGAAGGACGTTAGAAATGCAGCTGCCAGGAATAAGACAAAGACAAGAGTTAGAGGACATGGAGGTAGTTGGAATGGGGACAGAGGACACAAAGAACAGAGTGAGGACACAGAGGACAGTGAGAACTATAACTTGCTGTGGAGGCCCTTGAAGAAGGAACAGTTGAACAAAAATATGTAATTTTCTGCCATGATCTAAGTGGTACAGGAGGCTCACCAGAGGGCAGCAAGGGGACTCTTGTTCTAAATTTCCTTCTCATAAATCTAAGGACCTTAGTCCATCCAGAACATGTTCTTTAGACTCCTCCAGTCTCTTCTACCACATGATGTCATCGTACCACCTTCTGGTAACAAGTAATCAAATCAACAGAACAGAGCATCTACTGTGTCAACCTGAAAACACAATAAATACATTTCTATCAAATGCCAAACAAAACACATTTAGAACACCAAGTCCGTAAAAAGTACTCAGAAAAGTTTTTTTTTTATTTAAAACCCAAAGAGACTGATTGTAACAAAAGATCCAGACTGGGATCACAGCTCGTCCTTGCTGCTCTCAGAGTCTAATGCTGAGTTCTTCTCTGAAGAAATTGTTTCTGATTGTGTTGAAGCTGAACTTGTGTCCTGTTTGTTAACCTGCTTGCTTTGTGTTTTCACTGTCTGTTTTTTAGCAGCAGGTTTGGACTTGCTTTGATCTTTGGCCTTCGATTTTGGTGTACCTTTGACTTTATTGGACTTTTTGGAGATGGGTTTTATTTGAGCTGTGTTCTTTGGTTTTTCTGCTTCTGTGGACGAGTCCAGCTTTGGTTCTGTTGTTGTGCTGTCTTGGTTTTTGTCTGCTGCCACCTGGTCCACCTCTAAAGAGTCTTCTGTATTTTTTTGGCTGAACTCTACATTCACAGGGGTGGAAAACATCTTCAGCATCTCCTGAGCTTGGATTCTATCCTAATGAAAACAAAGAAGAAGAATTTACGTAAAGGGATTTGAATAGGGACATGAATCAAATTGGATAAGTTCCATCAACGTTACCTTTTCCTCGTGAGCAGGATTGAGTGTAAACCACAGAGCTACAGCACACCTCTGACCCTTGGTGACAGCTCTGACACCATGAGGATTTTCCTTCCCTGCACCAAACCCAACAACACGTCCACAGCGTGGCTGAACCTCGGCCTGGAGAGAGATTCACTCTTTATTATTCTGTTCTACAAGAAGAGATTTAAAGTCATTCAAGCTAAACATGAAGTCCGTTAGAGTTTTCAGACGTAAAGTCATTGTTTTAAAAAAAAAAAAACTCTTCAGCTTCAGAGAGAAAGTTTTATCTTATGGTACTGACACCGCCTTTAATCCATCCATCCATCCATCCATCCATCCATCCATCCATCCATCCATCCAACCATCCATTCAACAATTCAGCTCTACACCCTCAACAGGGTCCTAAGGGTTTGCTCAACCAGTCTACATGTGTTTTGTGCAATTGGAGAAGGTCTTTGACCATGTCCCTCAGGGAGTCCTGTGAGGGGTACTCCAGGAGTATGGGGTACCAAGCCCTTTGATACGGGCTGTTAGGTCACTGTACAGCTGGTGTCAGAGCTTTGTCACCAATTCTGTTCATAACCTTTATGGACAGAATTTCGAGGTCCAGTCAAGGTGTTGCGGGGATTCGTTTTGGTGAGCTTAGGATTGCATCTCTGCTTTTTGCAGATAATGTGGTGCTATTGGCTTCATCAGATCATGATCTCCAGCTCTCACTGGAGCAGTTTGCAGCCGTGTGAAATGACCGGGATGAGGATCAATGCTTTCATTTCTGAGACCATGGTCTTGAGCCGGAAAAGGGTAGAGTGCCTCCTCAAGGTTGGGGAAGAGGTCCTGCCCCAAGTGGAGAAGTTTCAGTATCTCTGAGTTTTGTTCATGAATGAGGGAAGAGTGGAGTGGGAGATCGATAGGCAGAYTGGTGCTGCATCTGCAGTTATGCGGGCGCTGTACTGCTCTGTCGTGTTGAAGCAGGAGTTGAGCCAGAAAGCAAAGATCTTGGTTTACCAGTCAATCTACGTTTCTACCCTCAAGCTTTGGTAGAGGGAAGTCTGGGTGTCTCTGCTTAGGCTGCTGCCCCTGCGACTTGACCCCGGATAAGTGAAAGGAAATGGATGCAGTGTTTCCCCTACCATTATACAAGGAGGGGTGGGACCCCCGCCAACGAGACGGCCCGCACCTCTAAGAATTTCACGGCATGTAGTGAATTTTATTTAAATACAGTAAGGCCAAATCAAGTCAAGAGCTATATTTTGCGCCCCTCCATATCCAACTTTCGCCAAACTTGGGGGG